GGCCAATTCATTTCATATCTGGTTTAATGAAGTTTATAGCGACCACAGATATCTTTGATCATTTTCCGTTCAGCCACAGCCTTTACTTTCAGCGTATTTCTTCATCCGTTTGTTTCAACAATTTGGCCGTTACTCTGTGATGCGCCTGAGCTCCGTGCGGTCTTGACAACGTATTCGGGCATGCCTAGTGGTCAGTTCCCTTCAAGTCGTTACCTGAAACATCCATTGAGGCTTCGGTTTTTGTAGTTTCTTCCCAATCGAATGGCTTACATCGGCAAGCTTTCATTCACACACTACTGCTGGTATTTTCAGCAGCTCATGAGTGCGGGAGAAACTGGCGCTGCATTAATGTAAGCCAGCATTTTGCCAAATCCTTTTCTACATTCTCTGCATGCAGAAAAACGGCTATTCCCGATTGATCCGACCGTCACAGTGCTTCATTATGCGTGCAGCAGAGCTCCCGCAGCAGGTTCAAGTTCCAAGTCAGTGCTTGAAATGGTCGGCTTCAGATCGCGATCAGATAGACTGTGCTACTTCGTCCAGATTTTTTACCGCAGCCGGAAATTGTACGACAACACCAAGGGTCGTATGTGAGGACAGAACACCTTACGCATTCACACAGCGTTCAGGTTAGTGAGTGGAATTCCAACCAGCCTCATGAGTTGGAGCACTGATAATTCAATTTCTCCGTTTGATTTTAACCGATTTCAAGATAGCCATCTCCCCGCACAAAAGAATGAATGTGGAGACCAAAGCGTCCGACCTGCTCGAGTTGAATCAGTAATAAACCAGATAGAGGAGACCAGTGAAATTCTTAAACTTCGTAATTCCCGCTGCGATCGATCATCCACTTAGCTTGGACTGTTGCCATTATTGGCTCCCACCCGGCAACCGGAGCAGCCAGCTGACAGATGTGGATAACGCACAATGCTACTTCCAGAACAATGCTTCGCCTTTTATAATCCGCAAAATTTGCATGCAGGATAATCTGCCAAAACACTGCCCTACCCAATATTTGTCAGTGCAACCAAATTTCTGAAATACAATTAGCTTCATCGAGTATCTGGATTTAGTGGGTTATCTTGGATGCATATTTACGCTGAAAGATACTGCGGCGCTAGAGATGTGGTGAATATGCACCTAAGATAATCTGCAGCATTTGAATGGTAAGGCTAATTGGTTTTTTCGGAAGTCCCCTCGGTGATTTTGCATTGACAAATAGTAGAGTGCGCAGTAGGACAGTACCATGATTTCCATGATTCCTCTACACATCGTCTGTCTCTACCGAGTAAAAATTTGAGGAAACAAGCGAAGCTTGAAAGAAAAAAGTAAAATGTGACATACGCGTTTATGATATTACTGCTGTTGGTTATAATCGAAATAGAATTGAAAGTAACTGGTGGCATTCATCCGCCTGGAGTCTAGTCTGAAATGCGTGCTGCATCTGTTAAAATATGTAGAGATCAGCTGTGAAACGAATAAGCCGAGTGCGCGCTGCTATATATGCTGGCTTGACAGACTCATGAAGTTGGGAGCACTGTCGATTGTAATCAGAGTTACCAGTGTTGCAACGGCAACTACGCCTGCATTGCTCATTTACTCTGTGTCGTACGGTTTCATTTCCCTGTCAAACTGTGATTTATGATTATGGATTAAAGTAATTTTTACTGTTTCATTCGACTTTGTCTGAATTTCCTAGTGACGATTGCTGCGGCAGCGGCTCATTAATTGGCAGCATTCGGTGACTACCGTTTAAGTTGATAACTCTAACCGATAAAATCCAAGAATCCCATGACGGTGAAGCTGAGCAAGACGCTAGCTGAGCAAGACGCTAGTTTCACAAGCAAACAGAACCTTAATTTGTTGCGTAATTACTTCATGGCGATTGCAGCATTTGCATCGGTGCGTAAATAGCAAATTTCGCTCCAGAATTCCGAAAGTCTACTGCCGCCGCCGATTCTGGAAGCAACAACAGCGACGTTTTGCAGGAATATTCCTTCAAACCAGTCGGTATTTAGTTTTCCTGAGACAGCGTTAGCTGACGCTTCCGCAAACTGTTGAGATGCCAAACGATATCTCCCGGTTTTGTCGTGGCAAAATTAATCTGTTCTTAATTTTGTTCCATTTTTATGCGTTTTTGCTGTGCAGCACTATAGCAGCGCTATAGCGCTACTACAGCCAGCAAAAACGCCTATTGTCGAGAGGCTATCTGTGGGTGTATGTTCGGAAAGCGAGTGAATTTTGTCAT